CACTTGGCCGAATGCTGGGCTGTAGCCAGAGAGGACCCGCAGACAGAGAGACGCTGGTGCTTGAGGGAGGGACCCCTCCACCAAAGCCCCAGGACTCAGTGGGCACTGACAATATCTGCTCTACTAACCCAATATCTGGGTTAAGGATAAAGAAGGTGGGCCAGAGGGAACAGAATGTGCAAAGGTGCAGAGGCTGGAGGGAGCACAGGAGTCTGAGAATTAGGAGTTCAGAGTAGCTGACCTAGCTGTATGTTCTGTGGGATGCGGCTGAAAGCCATGTGGGCCAGACAGAACTTTTACGGTGCAGAGAGCTCTGCGAAGCCTGGGAAGGCCCACAGGAGGTGGATGGCAAGCTGGGATCACATTTTAGGAAGGTCCATCTGGCTGCGGTGTGGAAAATGATTCAGAGTGGGCCAGTTACAAAATGAGGTTGGGTAGGAGGTTCTCGTGGGGGTCCGGGTGAGAGGTGATGCCAGCTGGGCCTAGGGAGGTAGTGGCTATGTTGGAGGGGACAGGAATTAAAGTCAGTGGGACTCCCACTCTCTGCCTCCCCCACCCCATATCTTCCCATACCTCTGCCAAGGTCATGGTGGACCCTCACTGGCACCACTCCTGTTGACCTGATGAGACAGTATGAAGGATGAGACAGTATGAAGAGCACCCGAAAGAAATGAGGGTATTTGTTTTTAAAAAGTATATCAATTAGGGCTCATGGGAGTGAGTGACAGAAGGGAACTCTAGCGAGCTCAAATAGGAAGGACATTTACTGGGAGGTTCTCTGAGCTCAGAAAGCCATCCTAGGCTGAAAGCCCAGGCTGGAGAAATGGCTCCAGATGGCCAGACAGCAGGAATCGTCCACTCTTTCATTCCCCAAGCATCAGTCCAGGTCTGCAGATGGAGCAGAGAGCAAGGCCCTGTCCCTCCTTTCATGGGCCTGACATTCTCGGTGGGAAGATAAGCAGTAACCGTAACAAGTAGTGGGAGAGCTCATGAAGAAGAGACAAGGGAGGCCCAGGATATGGAGAGCAGGAAGGTTCTATTTTAGTTGGGGGAACAGACCTGTCCTTCCAAAGCAGCCATCTGAGAAGCCTGAATGAAGAGAGGGAGGCACCATGCAAAATGTGGGGACAGAGCGACCCCAGTGGCGGAGCGGAGGCTGGTGGTGGTCACTGCTGGTACAGCAGGCTTGGGGAGCACTGGGGCTTTTGAGTGAGATGGTGAGCTCCTGGAAGGATTCGAACAGGAGGCTGAGGCAATCCGCTTTCCATGTTGAAAGGATCACTCTCACTTCTGTGTGGAGGATGGATT